GTCGATGTGTGTATGGCAATGTGTCTTTGTGTGACAGTCCATGTGTGTGTGTGCGTCGATATGTATGTGTGTGTGTAAGTTCATGTCTGTGTGTGTGAGTCTATGTATGTGTGAGTCGATGTGTGGCTGTCAGTCGATGTGTGTGCGTGGGTCCATGTGTGTGTGTAAGTCCCTGTGTGTGTGTCTGTAAGTCCATATGTGTGTGTGTAGGTCAATGTGTCTGTAAGTCTATGTATGTGTGTGTGTCACTCGATGTGTGTGTGTAAGTCAATGTGTGTGTGTGACTTGATATGTGTGTGTGTGTCAGTACATGTGCATGTGTGTTCATCGCTGTGTGTGCGTGGCTCCATGTTATTCAGTGTTAGTCCATTTCGTTGCGTGCCTGTAGGTCCATGTGTGCGTGTTAGTCCATATGTGTGCTTTATTCACTTGCTCAGGGCCTATGATACCATCATTAGGCCTGGGCTCTGGGTTGCTCCTCGTACTTTTCGAGTCCCTGACCCTCTGCTCACGATCCTTAAGGACCTTCATGATGGTGAGCGCCCTCACATCAAACTACGTGACCGTGAATCAGAGCCACTCCCTGTACATCTTGGGGTGCGACAGGGATGTCCACTGCCTCCCACATTCTTTTACATATATTTGGACCACGTACTTCGTTAAGCCTTCAGTGCCTCTACCGGAAGAATTCATATCTGGTACAGATACAATGGGAGGCTCATCGATGCCCGGGTGCGGTCAATCGATGGCTCCCTATTGGTCAACCACGTTACGTATGCCGATGGTCTGGTAATTAATGCTCACTCAGAAGAGGAGTTGGACGCGCTGCTGCTCAACCTGGAGCTTGCCACTAAGAGGTGGGGCCTTACCATCAGCCCCACCAAAACTAAGCACCTGCCTGGGTATTTTGTACCATCGGACAATCCACCCCCATAACTCACAATTGGTGATGGGCCAGTTGTGGAGAGATTGCAGAGATTCCCATACCTGCCCAGTGTGCTCATGACCGGCTCCGGTTTTACAGCAGAGATCTCACTTCAAATCAGTTGAGCATCATTATCTTTTCATCGGCTGTGTAATACTGTGTTGAAGTTACCTGGTTTCTCGCTTCGCACGAAGCTCCACGTCGTCTCGCGCACGGTCATTCCCTTCCTTCTCTACACTTGTGAAACTTGGACCCCCCTAATGCAACATTTTCGCCGGTTACAAACATTTAGGCTGGCCTGCCTACGATCCATCCTGGGTTTAAACAGGCTGGATTGTGTGATGAGCTCACAAATACTTGAAAGATCTGGACAAAGTCCCATTGGTGACCTCCTACGCCAGCCAAGGCTATGTTGGCTGGGCCATGTAGCCTGAATGGCCAGGCAAGGCTGCGTTGGCTGGGCCATGTAGCCTGCATGCCCAGCCACCGCATGCCTAAACAGCTTTTGTTCCGCCGGATCGAGGTCTCTAAACAGGCGCGACACAGGCTAGAGAAGAGATGGAGTGATGTGCTACAGGACGATGTGCAGCTGAGTGGACTTGTCGATGACTGGTACCAGCGGTGTCAAGGTCGGTATCTGTGGAGGAGCCTCGTGAAGGACGCTACAGGCCAGTTGGAGGCAGTCGGCCTCCAACAACAACGGAGGGCGGAGGAGCGATGCTCACAAGAACGAGCGGTGCACCGTGTGGCTAAAGCACAGCAAGTTAGCAGGGTACAGGGCACAGGTGGTGCATCTGCCAGTCATCTCAGTCGACCTGTGCCATCTGGGTCTGCCCCGTGACCTCCTGCCAGCAGGTGTTCGACACTTCACGTGGCCTCAAGGTGCATATAGCCTGCCACAAGCGTTGTGGTGACGTCACTGCCAATTAGTGGCGAATGGCGGTTGTTGTTGTTCAGTCTATATATGTATGTATGTGTGAGTCCATATGTGTGTGTAACTCTGTGTGTTTGAGTCGATTTGTGTGTGTAACTACATGTGTCTCTCAAGTCGATGTCTGTGTGTGTGAGTCCATATGTGTTTGCATGCGTGTAAGTCAGTGGGTTTCTATGTGTATGGGTCCATGTCTGTTTGTAAGTCCATGTGTGTGTCTGCCTTTTTCACCCGGGCAACGCCGGGTACTAACCACTAGTTTAAAATATATATAGTATGTGTTTATTTGCCTGGAATGGCAACTAAACAATGTACAAGGCTACGGATTATTTTCCAAGACGGAGATGCTTCACAAACTGTTTTTGGAGGCAAAGCCAGAGTTCACAAACCTCTGTTCAGATCAGAGAAACAGATGATGAATCATCTCGAAGCAATAAAGCATCAGGGGAGGGGGATAAGACAGGATTCACCATGGTGAGCATTAATTATATTATCAGTGAGGACAATCCAGAAAACAAAGCCTAACAGTGTGACTGTTCGATTGTGATCTGTAGCTATGACACCCTTTATACTGTGTCTAAGAAATGCAAAGTGTTGTTTTTGTGTGTGCATACTCTTTGGTTTTATTCGGTAAAGTCACGTAGATAAAATAAAACAAAATAAAATGAAACAATTAAATCACGACGTTTCGGAGGCAACACAAGCTTCCGTCTTCAGGTGGAATAGTCAACGCAGAATATCTGTGTCAGGAGCACAGTTCAGAGACAACCGGGATTATATACAGGTTAAGGAGGGGGGGGGGAGGAGTCAGTAAGGGGGTGTGGGTGGGTCGGAGGGCTGGGTTAAGCAGCCTTTTGATAGTCTGCTGCGGGTAACAATCACTTCGCACTGCACGAGAGTGGGTAAAACCCACCTTTTGTTATGCTGCGTGGGGGGTCGGGGGGAGGAAGAGACATGCTGCATGTGTACAGCTCCATTTTTTGAAAGCGGCGGCGAACGGCTGTTCAATTATAAGGTAGCTAAAGTTTGATATACAACCACTGAGAAAAGGAAATGGCTGTGCAAAAATTGAAAGGCAGCTAACGTTTGACTTCATTTATAACATCATTCCAGTGATTGCTCAATTTGAAACCATCCTCTCGGTTGAAGTTGTGTCTGTGTTTGTAAATCTGGATGTCTTCATGGACAAATCTCTGGTAATAACCGGGAGGTTTGCAGATAACTTTGGTATCAGAGAAAACAATGTCATGAGAACCCGCTGTGTTGAAGCAATGATCAGCCACGGCCGAAGAATTCGTTCTTCCGTGTTTCAAATCTGATTTGTGCTCGCGGATTCGGTCAGAAATATGTCGTTTCGTCTCCCCGATATAGCAGTCACCACAGGTACAACTCAATTTGTAAACACCGGGGTACTGTAAGTCAGGAATGACATCCTTTACGGATGGGATCAGATCACGGATTTTGTGTACTGTATTGATCCGGACCTGGATCTTGTGTTTGTTTAGAATTTTGGAAATCTTTTTTGTAATGCCTGCTATGTATGGTAACGTCATGATTTTGATCGGAGTATCAGGTGGTTGTTTCTGTATGGTGGGAGAAACAGCTGGCGGATGGTACGGTCAGAGTATCCGTTCATCTTGAGGGCCAGATGTACATGTTTTAATTCACTGGCCAGGTGGTGTTGGTCAGAAATGCCTGGAATGGCAACTAAACAATGTACAAGGCTACGGATTATTTTCCAAGACGGAGATGCTTCACAAACTGTTTTTGGAGGCAAAGCCAGAGTTCACGAACCTCTGTTCAGATCAGAGAAACAGATGATGAATCATCTCGAAGCAATAAAGCATCAGGGGAGGGGGATAAGACAGGATGCACCGTGGTGAGCATTAATTATATTATCAGTGAGGACAATCCAGAAAACAAAGCCTAACAGTGTGACTGTTCGATTGTGATCTGTAGCTATGACACCCTTTTACTGTGTCTAAGAAATGCAAAGTGTTGTTTTTGTGTGTGCATACTCTTTGGTTTTATTCGGTAAAGTCACGTAGATAAAATAAAACAAAATAAAATAAAACAATTAAATCACGACGTTTCGGAGGCAACACAAGCTTCCGTCTTCAGGTGGAATAGTCAACGCAGAATATCTGTGTCAGGAGCACAGTTCAGAGACGACCGGGATTATATACAGGTTAAGGGGGGGGGAGGAGTCAGTAAGGGGGCGTGGGTGGGTCGGAGGGCTGGGTTAAGCAGCCTTTTGATAGACTGCTGCGGGTAACAACCACTTCGCACTGCACGAGAGTGGGTAAAACCCACCTTTTGTTATGCTGCGTGGGGGGTCGGGGGGAGGAAGAGACATGCTGCATGTGTACAGCTCCATTTTTTGAAAGCGGTCGGCAAACGGCTGTTCAATTATAAGGTAGTTAAAGTTTGATATACAACCACTGAGAAAAGGAAATGGCTGTACAAAAATTGAAAGGCAGCTAGCGTTTGACTTGATTTATAACATCTTTCCAGTGATTGCTCAATTTGAAACCATCCTCTCGGTTGAAGTTGTGTCTGTGTTTGTAAATCTGGATGTCCTCGTGGACAAATCTCTGATAATAACCGGTAGGTTTGCAGAGCACCTTGGTATCAGAGAAAACAATATCATGATCACCCACAGCGTTGTAACAATGGTCAGCCACGGCAGAAGAATTCGTTCTGCGGTGTTTCAAATCTGATTTGTGCTCGCGAATTCGGTCAGAGATATGTCGCTTCGTCTCCCCGATATAGCAGTCCTCGCAGGTACAACTCAATTTGTAAACACCAACTCTCGTGCAGTGCGAAGTGGTTGTTACCCGCAGCAGTCTATCAAAAGGCTGCTTAACCCAGCCCTCCCACCCACCCACGCCCCCTTACTGACTCCTCCCCCCCTGACACAGATATTCTGCGTTGACTATTCCACCTGAAGACGGAAGCTTGTGTTGCCTCCGAAACGTCGTGATTTAATTGTTTTCTTTTATTTTGTTTTATCTATGTGACTTTACCAAATAAAACCAAAGAGTATGAATCCTTGCAGTCACGAAAGCTTCAAATCTAGAATTTGTGTGTGCAGTGTACGCTGTGTAGTGTCACTGTTGTGTATTGCGTGTGTGTGGTAATTAGGGAGGAAATGGTCGCTGAACTTCAGCAACAGATCTCCCTGCTGTCGCTCATGGTGCAAGAGGAACGACGCAAGCATCATAAGGAACAAGACGATGTATGACTTGCAGACCGCGTAAAGGATTTGCACATCATTTAAGCACAGAGAGGGATCAATACTTCACAATTAGGGTCTCTATTCGAGGGAAATTCAGGAGCACTGAAACCAATTTAAAACTTCCATCAGGTGTCTTTAATAAACACAGCAAAACTCCAAAAATCGGTGGTGATGCAATAATAATTCCAACTTGTAATGCGCCGCACAGTTTATGCCCACTCTCAAAGAGAACGATTCAAGAGGCGTGAGGAGGAACCACAGACAAGCGGGAAGGCAGCCATGCGGTGAGACGACACCAACAATTTACCAAGCTCTGTGGCCCTCTATTAAGGTGTTAACCACTTAATGAGTGTTTTACATGTGGGAGGACACCAGAGCACTTGAAGGAAACCAATGCATACAAGGGGGAAACACTCAATTTCATATGGATGGAACAGGTGGAGTCCACATTTTTCCTGTATCACATTCTCCTGGCAAGCCAAGTTACAGCACCTCATTGACATAAATGTGTGTAAAAGTTTGCATAAAATTATGTTGTATATGAGGTAGAGATTCTGAAGATTGGTAGGACAAACTCAGTGCTCGTAGATGTTAATACAGCTGCAATCATCTTTCAGAGCAGTTAAGTCATCAGAACACATATGTTTGTTGAAAACAAAGAAAGGGATCATCTTTCACAATAATTAAAAATTTGTAAGAGTCAATATTATTACTATAGTCCAAATTATTATATAAAGTTGTATACTTAACTTTGGGGGTTCAGCTAATATGACTTGTTTTGCCCCACGACAGATATGGGGGTGTGTTTAAACAGGAACTTCCTGATATGATGGTGTTGAGTTTGGTCAAGTGACCAGGAAGTTACGAGTTAAGGGTCTCGAAGCCACGAGGGAAGGCAGGGGTGTCAGCCATGACAGAGAGTACAACATGGAGGTACAATTAGTGTCTCATTGAAGACGGTTGCATCTATTCGTTGTGGGGCTTTAAGAAGCATTGTCTTTTTACCTCGCTTATTCATGAAATACGTTGGAGTCAGATGTTCACCCTGGCTCTGAGAGTTTATTGAATGCGAGGTTAACTACTCAGATATATGCTGTGTGCGGAGTCGCTGAGTGCTAAGACACTGTGTGTGGAGTCGCTGAGAGCAGAGCTGCTGAGCGCAGGTACAAAACAGTTATTGTATACGCTTAATTTATTTTATCACTTAATAACCAATTTTACATGTCTCACTTTTAATGCAAACGTATTTACTGAGTTTGTTTAAAATATGGTAATTCTTAATAATAACAGTAATTTACAGCCCATTGTCACTCCACTGCTGGATGAAGTTCTCCAAATACCATTTCAGTCATGACTATACTTCACCACACTGGTCAGTGCAGGTTGGTGAAATGAGGGGCCCAGGACTAGTTTAGATATCACTCACCTCTGATGTTAGCCATGGCGGTGGAATCCAACTCAGGCCGCTGGGTTAATTGCGCAATGTAATATCCACTGAACCACCATTCCACCTCATCTCGAACAATTGTCAATACGAATAATGTCAATTATATATCTAGAAGAAGAAGCAACTATCCAATGTATTTAATAATTTTGTTCCCATTTGTTTGCATGCCAAATGGATAATTGTATTACCGCGTCTATTAGAACAAGGCCCAGTGGTACAAACCATTCAGGTGAGGGGCTAATTAAACAGACAAAATATCCACAATGGTAAAGAATCAGAACAGACAAGGTCAATGCATAATACTACAGCAGAAGAGTGTCACTGTGACCCTGGTGGGCTACTTAGGACATGAAAAAGCATTTGAGAAAATTCCACTCCTGGCCCGTCCAATTAATTAGTCTATAATGGAAATTATACATATATAAAACAACATCTTACTTTCCCATAATTTGCATAAAACAATTATGTGCTCAATGGTTTATTCATGTAATTCAGCTGATCATGTAATTCAGTTGGCTACGAACAGTGCGAAATAAGTTCAACATACATACATCCATACATACACATTAATCATTAACATGTATGCACGTTGTATGATCAAATACTGTTAACTTTTTTGTTATGACAAATTATACACTGTATTGCCATTTTAAATTACAAGTATATCATTAAATAAAACACATTTTCTTACAAATTCCGGGGCTTGGTGACATTTTAAAACCTTTTAGTTCATGCAGATATTAATTGTGCACAATACAACCATTAGTTGGAATTCTACACATTACTGCGACTGATGATACTCATTCATTGAATTGACTTTAGGCTATTACATCAAAAGGAAGTTTTCGTTTTATTTCAGAATATAGTTCTGATAGCAATTGGTGTTCTTCCATATAAAAGCTTTGTTCATGCATCACGCTTTACTCAGCTATCAGTTGTAACGCTAAACTGAAAAGAATAGCCCAAGAGAGATCTTAACATACTGAAAAATGGGTAGGACAGAAATCCACTTCTGAGACATAACCCTATTATTGTAATGTATCATTGATAGCATCATGGCACTGCAGTGGCTGCCTGTCCGTGTGAGCAATGTGCACGTGCCATTATATTGGGGTAACGGAATACGTTAGCTTTTAGAAAGTAATGACTGATTTCGTTGTCTTTTGAACTGAGGCGGTGCATATTTATCTGCTGTTTAATACCACCAGTGCGGGGCCAAAGGTGGGCGTGCTATTATTCGATCACTTCGGTAATGATTGGATATAAAAAGAGACTCACGAAGACTTGGTGTAAATCAGGCATCATTTTGCGTCACGTTTCAATCAGATATCCTGCACAAAGAGCTCATTTATACGTGTGTTCTGAGTCACTTGTCTGGGATGCATACATGTTCAGTGAACTCCACCGATTTATATATTTATATAAAGAAAAATATTCTGCCATTAAAATTCCACATTTACAAATGAAGCTCGGACCTCACAGGTCACCGATAGAGAAAATGAAATTTTGCTCACATTTTGAAAATAAGACAGGTGTGCTTTCATGTTATTGGCTGTTGTCTATCAACCAAATGGAATTTTAACCTCCTTAAAGCCTTTCCATGGCAACACATAAAAGGTGCATGATACACACAACTTTTGGAGTACGCTCTGTAGATACTCCAGAGATGAATGTTGGAGTAAAATCATTGCAAAAATATGACATGAGGGGGTTTTTTATCAAGAAAGTGCACCAAAATCCATGTTTTTTCAGACAGTTTGTATTTTTCAAAATCAATATGCTTTATGTAACCATTATATGCCATTTTTGTTAGACAGCAGGAAAGAGGAGTTGTGTTCAAAACAAAATTAGAATTTGCACTGCCAAACAGTAACGTAGATGTTAAATGGACATGTACAGATTCCCTTCGCTTTATGCGGTAGATGCATTCCAAATATGGGCACGCACAAAGCGAAATCGCATGAGACAGTACATGCACAATCTTGTCCCACGTCCCACCGCATAGCTCCATATGAGTGAATTCAAACCACAAATAGTGAATATTGGGTATAACTTGGTTAGCCGAATATTGCACCTCCGATTAGCATGGTTGGCTATGTATGGTGTGAAAGTTTGTGCGAAATCGCACAAACTAAATCCGCATAGAGCAAGGGAAACCTGTACAGTGAATGTGCGATGTGCTTGAGATGGGCGTTTAAGCAAGCAACACCAACCAAATATGTACTTTACTCACATTCACCCCAACTAATCAATCAAGCAAAGCAAGAGGTGTTCTTCTGTACAGACTTACCATGTGCTATTCGGTGCCCATAGAACTGTGCTGCCCTTGAATTCATCTCAAAGCTCTCTCAGCCAGTGTACACATTGTTCTGCTCCATAGCGAAACGTTCAATTGTGCACACAACTGTGGATATTTTTTGTGTGTGGAATGTGTAGGCAACTCTGCCTATTTTCTGTTCGTTACTGCCATGTGTGATAAACTGCTACATGGCCTAAGATGCTTTTCAGATGCAGTTTGAATTGGGTATTTTTTTTTAGTTGAGGAAAGTTATTCATTAAAACAATAAATAATTAACTTTTTGTCATCAAGGGATTATCGATATGAACACTCTGTATGGCCCCCAACTCTATGATTGAGGGATGGAGCAAGGTTAATTGATCATGGTGTGGCCAAGAGTGTTGCAAGTAACCTTTTGAAGCATACCGTGTAAATAACCAACGCTCATTCCCATTTATGAGCCCTCTTGCTTGCAGTGATTAAAATCTGCAACATTTATAATGTTTTTTCCAGCAGTATACTCTTATATAGGGAGCTTGATTAATTGCCGTCAAGTCTCTACACCTCCACCATGCCAAACATGAGTAAACAATTTAATCATAACTCAGCAACCGTTACATCTTGGCATATTGGCAAGCATATTTTAGTAGTTGAAATCGGATTATTTGCCGGCAAATTGCATAAATAAAAACTATAAAAGTGAGTTACCGGCATTAAACATAAAAATAAAACAAAATAAATCACGACGTTTCGGGCGCAACACAAGCGTCCATCATCAGGTGGGAAAGCATGCTTTATTTTGTGTTCTTTTATACCTACGTGACTTTACCGAAAGAACCAAAGAGTATGGATTCCTGCAGTCACTAAATCTTAAAATAAAACATGAAAAGTTTACCCTTTTAACTGGGTAGGAGCTGATGTGTAATATTTAGCATACAGCACTTGCCACTCAGAGGTAACCAGTTCAACTTTCTCCCAGGACAGCCGAGGAAACAATGGTACAAGTTTCTCGTATGTATGTATGTTTAACTTATTTTACACCGTACGTGGCCAACGGTGCTAATCGGAGGTGCGTGGGAAGGATAAACTAAACACAAAAAGCAATTCTCAAGAAAGTGTGGGTACGCATGGAAGAGTAGACGAAATATCTCTAGAGCTCCCTGTGGCTGAGGCCTTTCCATTAGCAAGGGGAGTGAGTGAGCAATTGCTGGGCTGTATGGATGTTGAACTTCCTTCGCAACCGTACGTAGCCAACCGTACTAAACGGAGGTGAATATGACCACCACGCTGTGACTTGGGCAATGCCGACCCACGCGGATAAATCAGTCGCACACGCAGTGCAGGTTGAGCGCTCGGTGCGTGCCAATAAGTACATTCATTCAGAAAATTCATCCGGAATCAATTACCCTGTCCTGACTTTTGGAATCGAAAATCGAATTCTGCAAACGATTACTGGTTTACAGATGATCGTTTAACAATCATAATTACAGTAGTTCCCCAATTGTATATACACTATCGCACCGTCGGTTTACATTTCTTACCAGTTACAGGACCAACAGAGTGTGTCAGAGACCACTTGTAGCACTATACATCAATATGTAAAGTGGTATACTGCCATAAGATATCTATCTAGTTTGGACGCCACTTTATGTGCAAAGTATGTTACCTTACAACTACATGCAGGACCTAACATTTGTATGGTATACTAACCCCACAATAACCACCGCACTCTGGCCACCTCTGCTAGAATGAGCTGCAGTACGGTAGTTATAGGTCAGCGAGAATCTAATAAACACCCACTGACCTGTGAAAAAAATTCAAGGGATCTGGTTTGAGAGCCAAATGCAAAATAAGATAGTTACAACATTTCCCACACGTGCACAAAAAAAAGTATGCAACCAATCATGGAGATAATGCATGCTTGGAATTACACATAGGGATCCAAGAGCAATGCATGGATCAGGGAACAAATGTAAATGATAGATATCATGTTCATGAAAGTAGGTGGACTGGTGATCGCATAGCAGCCAGAGGAGGGAAGACGACTGAGAGGGAGATGCGCTACGGAGATGGCAAGATAGATTGTGTGTGATAGGATCATCACGATCTGTGGAGGTCTCCATACACCTCATACATGATGAAAATATGTACATTTTATAGATAGGCTTTCACGACCAATATTATGATTCCTAATTAGTTATTTTTGGGTTAGGGTTTCAGAATTTACTTTATAGCTGCTACACGATCTACCCACAAATGAATTAATTATCAATCATTATTGAATTAAATTATTCGTGCTTGAAAAAACAATTGCTCTCGTTATTTGTGCTTGAAATCCATCAAATATGGATGCAATATCGAGAACGCAGTGAAGTACAGTAGTTGCGTTGCCATTTCAATCTGAGTGCTTATCTTGTTTTATTTTAGAATACGAAACTAAGTCGTGGCTTTTCCACTGACCATGTCCATCTTTATTGTAATCTGAGCCCTGTAGCTACAGTAGAAGGTATGGTAGCTGTGATTTTATTTTATTGGAACGTATTTTGGTATGTCTAGGTCCGTAAACGGTGAAAGCCACACCTAAAACTCGTACGGTGTGACGAAAGAAAAATAAGTTTAAAGTATAGTACGTAATATATTTTCTGCATATATTTAATGGCCTAATTTCGTTTTATGTACGCCAGCGATAATTACCCGATGTGATTGTCACATGCTGCCGTTTGTTTTCATGAAATACTTTTTTGCAATTGTCGTGACATCAAAGCTGTAGTGTAAATAGGCCGAGTGCCAATTATTGCATTTACAGCTGGCATGCATGTTGAATCCAGCTGTACCACACTTACACTGAACACCTCTAACAGAGTAACTGATAGCAGCATCCTCCTTGCACTTTGAGCTCTGTTTGTACACACCGTCATGTTGTTTTATATCCATCATATACACCAGCTTTCCAATAAGAGATCGTTTGGGGTCATGTGCCTTATGAGGTCTGACCCTAAGTGCAAATAAAACATACATATACAGCTGAAATCTGTGTATTTCAACAATGGCCTGTCAATACTCAATGTTTTATATACAAGCCACCATCTTCCAGCACGTGGGCTAAAATATAAAATAATGAGAACCAACCCTGCACATAACATTGGTCAGTTTATTATTTATGAAGTTGCCCTTTGTTAAACAGTAATGACAAAACAAATATTGCATTAACCTTCACAGTACACTGCACTGCTTTGGTTTTCACAGTTGTGTTGTACAGCTCTCAATGTGTTTTTGATCGGGCTGTACTACGTGTTGTTTGGCAGGACGTCCAATGTTTTTTCCACGTCTTGGTAGCTTCAAGAAATTATTCAGCAGCTGAAGGAGCTCCCAACACATAGACTAAAACATCGGACAATATAACGAAAAACATAGCGGGATTTTCTGGGTTTCACCTCTGCCAGGCCTTCAGCTTCTACAAACCCCTTCCATAGTCTTAAGGCAGTTCCTGAAACATGCTGGGCCCAAGGGGCACCATGGTGGTGCGATGTTAATCACCTCGCCTGGTATACAGGAGTTCGTCGGTTCAATCCCGACCCTGATGACGGTACATTTGGAGTTTGCATGTTCTCCCCGTGGTCAGGTGAATTTTTCTCCAGGTTCTCCGGTTTTTCCCTCAACATTTATAAACATGCTTTTAGAGTTTTGATTTAAAGCTTTCGTGACTGCAGTAATTCATATTCTTAGCTCTTTCGGTAAAGTCACGTTGAAGGGAAACAATAAAATAATAAAATATATATAAACAGGTCCTGATGATGACCGTTTGCGTTATGGTCGAAACGTCGTGAGAATTTTTATTGTTTTATATATATTTTATTATTTTATTGTTTCCCTTCAACGTGACTTTATCGAAAGAGCTAAGAATATGCGTTTAGAGTGTTTGGCTGCTATATACATTTCCAAATGATAAGCCACTTTGTCGAGCTATCATTTGTGGCCAGGTCGCTTCTGAAATATAGCTGTATAGCTCAGTGGTCCTGATCTGGTAAAGTAAAAATAGTTATAGTAAATATTTTAATAAAAGTGGCAACTAAATCCCACTTGAAGAATATCCACTTAAAAATGTAACATGGAAAGATCATTGGAATAACTTAATTGTTTAAGATTCCACACATACGTCAACAAAGTCTTAAGTGCTCAAAAGTATCCCCATGTTAATTTGTGCAAACCATAAATCTGTTTTAAGAATGAAAAAAAATTCCTGCAAAATAAAATATATATTAAGTACTTTTTATAATGCCTTGACAAATGTATCGATTAAGCTATTGATATAAATGTTGTTATCAACGGTGGAAATATCAGATTTAGTAACATGAGTGTATAAACGCTTTGTGAAGTAAGTTCCAATCTGTTGCATGGTGTGTCTCTGTCATGGACGTGCAGCTAAAGCAAGAGATGGAATTAAGGCTAATACAGTTGAAGACACAACATGAGCATGAGCTTGGGTGAGTCCACATTAATGGACTATCACAAATCTACGATTTAGCCTTATAGACTGCAAGGACATGCTGTTGGTGAGCGCCTACGAAGACCAGCATGGCACATTGGGGAACAGTATGGCTAGAACCACGGCTGGTCACATTTGTCTCCACAGCGCTGTTGTTCTTGCACATTGCTGCACAAGCTACTGAAGTAAGGATTATTCAATCGAGGAACGGTCTGAGACAGGTTTAGATACTGCTTGTCATTGATGTTATCAATGATCCATGTTTGTAGCGTAGAATGATAACAACTGCTACTACCCTTCACCACATACACAGCAAAAACAGACACGTCAAACCAGAGCGACTTAAGGAAAATTGTCTTTGTAATGGGCTCTCATCAATCTTGCCTACCTGGGTACTTATAAAATGTACATACTTTCTTATTGGAAATATAACTTATTCAATCATTCCCATGTATATTTCAAGCTAAGTTACAAGATAGGGGATACAAAAAATATTACAAACAGAATGTGATGTTAGCCGGTGATGTATGGTTAAATTAGTAATGAATGAATTATGGAAGTTCACACACCTCCAGTTTTAACCAATGGATGACTGATAAATGGGACCATGCTCAGCAGACATCAAAGTGACAACTAATATTTCTTCAGTACAGGTCTAAAATATTACATGAGAAATATCTCAACACTTTATGAACACTTTAATTACCACTTGCTCATACTAAACATGTAACACAATTTACAAAATTGCTGCTTCAAGAACATGGCAGTGATTATATTATATTACATTAAGGCACGAGAACAAATCTGATGTACGGAATTTTTGTTTTATTCCCATGCGCCTCTTAAAATGTAGCTCCATAATTAATTGAATTGAAGGTGATGACACATGACACATGCACAGTCCATGTATATATCAAAAGGTATTTTATAAATAGTTCAGTCTCCTCTCAGGTGTCAGGTACATCATAATTCCTAGATTAACTATTCCATTTAATGGGTTGGATGCATTAACAGGCACCTGTCTGCAAATATTCTTAAACCCAGACCTAGCAGATAACAATAATAATACTCTCATGTACATTTTCATCCCAAAATCAGGCCGAGTTGTGTGATTGGTTGGAGACGGAAATCGGGCCAAATGTTTAAAAACGTATTATGTAAAGCAAACTTGATGACAACCATAAGCAACTACATTATGCACTTCCAACAAGCAAATAATACAACCACACACATGCTCCATTGAGTGAGGCTCCCCTTTTCCCAAATGCAAAGGATGGTCCAGATGTCTTGTGACCCCCATTTCAAACTCTAAAGCTTTATATATGTTTTAAAAGTAAGGTTTATTTGGGAAAACAAAATTTTAGGGGTCATTTAATAGGGGGTCACAACACATCTGGACCACCATGTACAGTTAACGCTTATGTACCGTGTTCCAGCGTGAACGCCGATCTCCCTGCTGTGTACATGCACAGGGACATCCAAAAGCAGCATGGTCTTGCAGTCGCGGCTTTGGAGGCACAACAACTGCACAATGTGAAGGAGCAGAAATCGCGTGACAAGGATTGCTACAGTATGTGGGCATGGCCTCCTTACGTGCATTCATTGACCACATCATATCTATGGAACCATTTTTTTGCCAGTATCAAGTTGACGAAAAAAGAATAGGCTTCATCCTTTCCGGCAAGAATATACACATGTTAAGATGTTCAAACGCCAAATAGATACCAATCCGCAAGGCATCAAGTATGCATTAACCATATATGCTTGTGGTGAAACGTGCAAACAAAAATGCTTTGATAATATATGCATTATCCTTGAAACAAATGGGCCTACACCAGTGTTAGACCAAATAACACCAAAAAGCAAACAGCCTTTGTGCTCATCTTCTTTGGTTATTTCGGTAAAGTCACGTAGAATGAGAATAAAATAATAAATTGATACAATAAAATAACACAATAATATTCTCACGACGTTTCGGCCACAACACAAGCGGCCTTCATCAGGTGAAGGGACGAGACTGTCTGGAGCTCCAGCGCTGTCCTCCAGACAGTCTCGTCCCTGTCCTCCAGACAGTCTCGTCCCTTCACCTGATGAAGGCCGCGTGTGTTGTGGCCGAAACGTCGTGAGAATATTATTGTGTTATTTTATTTTATCAATTTATTATTTTATTCTCATTCTACGTGACTTTACCGAAAGAACCAAAGAAGATGAATCATTGCAGTCACGAAAGCTTTAAATCGAAAAAGCCTTTGTGCTGTTCACCTTTTGGCGGTCTTTGGTCTTTTCATAGTATAGCGTGCATTTTATTGTATGCCCTTTGTCAAAAGATGTGCATATTTGGATATAACATTCTGAATAAACAAGGACAATATTGTATGCATGCTTTGTTTAATTTTAAGATATACTTATTGTGAGGGTTTTTGTAGACAACGATATATAATGAACCATGCCAAAAGAATACGGTCCAGCTATGTTGCTGACGAATTTCCCAGCAGATTTGTAGCGCTGAGCAGGTGTTTCCAAAAGCTTGATTGAAGCTGAATTTGTCACACAAGGGCTTTAGTAAATAACCCGACATCTAGATGTTGCCACTCCCTGTGTGCAATCAGAAGGTCGGGGTTCTGGGGCTCAAGTCAGGCCAATTTCAATTAATTGCAGGTCTACTCTTAAGATTACACAGCATGGTTGAAATGTTCTTCATTTGTTAACCGATATGGATTCGTGCATGGATTACCAACTCTGCATTCAGTAACAATGTGCTCACTACTTTAATACTTTTTCGTCAAATAAAAAAAGTACTCAATGTTCAAAATTCGCAGTGCATCCACAAGGAGCTAGGTTAAAGGTTTGACAACTTTACCAATCGACTCCCACTCACAAAATAATTTCCAAATAGCAGTTGTGATAGCTGAACATTAAAACGTATGTGTATTCCAATTATTTCTTTACAGAATAAGGGAAGAGAAATGAATGTTGTCACCAATTAACAATATCTAAATCGATAAAAAATCATCAAGTATGACTTAATGAAGCAAGGCACGTATATACATGAACTTTATAAGCAGGTCAGCGTCCACAGAAGGAAAGTCTCTGTTGCAAGAGAACCCTGAGTACAAATAAATAATGTAAAGTATATCAGTGTTCAAAGCTAACGACACAATTGTAAAAATCATCACAGGTGAGATTGGCAGAAAATGTAAAAAAAAATTCTCAATGAAATATATTGAAAAAACCAATTGGGTACAAATATACATCTATACATTTCACAGAAAAAAATGTGTGAATACATTGTCAGTATGTGGGGCCATGAACCCACCACACTACATATACCACACAAACCTTCACTATAGCGTGTTAACTGAGTAATACGGCATTTCAAGCAGCGGTGGTGAGGCAATGTTATTGTGAAATTGTAATGAACCAAAATGTCCAATTCAAATGCTCTTTAGGTCTTCTTGCAAATAATGTTTCCAGGTGTTTGTGAAATTGCATTTATATGAAAACCAATCCACACTCGAAGTTCATGGGATTTTTAAAATCTTTACTAATGAGACGCTTGCTATTTCCCTTCCATATTCACATCTTTTTTTTACTGGTATATTATTCAACCCCATAAAATCATTCAGGCGCAGCCCTTCTTTACACGCTGGTCAGACATCTCTGAAGAGGTGGAGGTTCCCACACTTTACCCCACCACACGTCACCTGCTGATCGACTTACTGGGGCGTACACATTTATTATGCGGGAGTATATATTAAAGTTCCTCGTTGTTTTCAACTGCAGCGCAAGCAGATTGAACAGGAGACACCTGTATTGCAAGTCCATTGTATTAATCATTACATCACAACAGTATTGTCTTCAACAATATAATTGTAGTTCATCTTAATTCAGAGAATATCTAACAAAACGATTGGTAATTGTAAACAACTGTTCTAATTTCACAGACACCATGCGTTTCCTAGGACTGAAAAGTATGTGCCTAATAAACGTGTGGCAGTTGTGAAACACTTTCCAAAAAAATTAACGAATTGGGTAATTCGCTTCCTATGACTCACTTTACAGATAAGCTTAAAGAAAAGCATGAGTTCCTGGAAAGCTCATTTGAGGCCTACAAGGTACAATCGCACCTCATGACACTTTAATAAAAAGTAGCGGTTTGTTTACAGCTGTCCTGATTTCCCATTTTCCTGTATTCATGAAGCATAAATCAGTGGGTGGGATGTCATTGCACTGATTAGGCTGTTAATAAAGGATTGAGGTCAGATATTTTGGTTCAATTGGACCCATTTAATATCGTGCAAGTCACATTGCAGTATAGAGTGTGATTCAACCGTGGTCTTCTTGATAGCTGAGGAATTTCACATCAATATATATATCTCAATTTAGGATATGTTTTACAGAATACAACCATAAAATACATTATTTAGGATATTCTACTTTACCTTTGTATTACTCTTTGCTTCTTTCGGTAAAGTCACGTAGGTAGTAATCAAATAAAACGAATCACGACGTTTCGATCGCAACACAAGCAATCTTCATCAGGTGGAACAACCACAGCAAGAAAAAATGCTGAAATAGGCGAGAGAGCTGCCGTGGCAAGAGGTTATATAGGTAAGAAAAGAGGGAGGAGCAAGGGGGGAGAGAGAGGGGGGGAGTGGAGCAGAGGAGGGGTGGGGGGCTGCGTGAGCGCTAGGGGGAGAAGTGAGGCTGGGGGGGGGGAAGTAGGCGGGGCTAGAAGTGGGAAGCTGAGTGTGGGACACGGGGGGAAGTAACTTGGAAAAATAGACTAGTACCCGGCGGAAATTATGGAAACAACCACAACCAGTTAAGTCTTTACTTGGTTAATAACATCTTTCCAATGATTGCTCAATTTGTATCCATCTTCTCGGTTGAAGTTATGTCTATGTTTATATATCTGGATGGCTTAATGAACAAATCTTTGATAGTGGCCCGAAGGTTTGCAGAGTACCTTGGTCTCGGAAAAAACAATATCATGCGAGCCCACAGCGTTATAACAATGGTCAGCCACGGCAGAGGGATTGGTTCTGCCGTGTTTCAGATCTGCCTTGTGTTCGCGAACACGGTCCAAGACATGTCGTTATTAAGGTTTTGAGGCTGACGTTTGGCAACTCGAACCTTCAGCTCCCTCCACAGATTTTCTTTGGGACTAAAGTCTGGAGACTGGCTAGGCCAGTCCAGGACCTTAATGTGCTTCTTCTTGAGCCACTCCTTTGTTGCCTTGGCCGTGTGTTTTGAGTCATTGTCATGCTGGAATACCCATCCACGACCCATTTTCAATGCCCTGGCTGAGGGAAGGAGGTTCTCACCCAAGATTTGACGGTACATGGCCCCGACCATCGTCCCTTTGATGCGGTGAAGTTGTCCTGTCCCCTTAGCAGAAAAACACCCCCAAAGCATAATGTTTCCACCTCCATGTTTGACGGTGGGGATGGTGTTCTTGGGGTCATAGGCAGCATTCCTCCTCCAAACACGGCGAGTTGAGTTGATGCCAAAGAGCTCCATTTTGGTCCATTCTGACCACAACACTTTCACCCAGTTGTCCTCTGAATCATTCAGATGTTCATTGGCAAACTTCAGACGGGCATGTATATGTGCTTTCTTGAGCAGGGGGACCTTGCGGGCGCTGCAGGATTTCAGTCCTTCACGGCGTAGTGTTACCAATTGTTTTCTTGGTGACTGGTCCCAGCTGCCTTGAGATCATTGACAAGATCCTCCCGTGTAGTTCTGGGCTGATTCCTCACCGTTCTCATGACCATTGCAACTCCACGAGGTGAGATCTTGCATGGAGCCCCAGGCCGAGGGAGATTGACAGTTCTTTTGTGTTTCTTCCATTTGCGAATAATCGCACCAACTGTTGTCACTTTCTCACCAAGCTGCTTGGCAATGGTCTTGTAGCCCATTCCAGCCTTGTGTAGGTCTACAATCTTGACCCTGACATCCTTGGAGAGCTCTTTGGTCTTGGCCATGTTGGAGAGTTTGGAATCTGATTGATTGATTGCTTCTGTGGACAGGTGTCTTTTATACAGGTAACAAGCTGAGATTAGGAGCACTCCCTTTAAGAGTGTGCTCCTAATCTCAGCTCGTTACCTGTATAAAAGACACCTGGGAGCCAGATATCTTTCTGATTGAGAGGGGTCAAATACTTATTTCCCTCATTAAAATGCAAATCAATTTATAACATTTTTGACATGCGTTTTTCTGGATTTTATTTGTTGTTATTGTCTCTCACTGTTCAAATAAACCTACCATTAAAATTATAGACTGATCATTTCTTTGTCAGTGGGCAAACGTACAAAATCAGCAGGGGATCATATACTTTTTTTCCCTCACTGTACACCCTTGAATGGCCATATAACTATGATACAGATCTTATACGAATAATAATTGACAACAGTATTGTATTATCTTCTTTGGTTCTTTCGGTAAAGTCACGTAGAATGAGAATAAAATAATAAAATAACACAATAAAATTCTCACGACGTTTCGCCCACAATGCAAGCGGCCGTCTTCGTTGTGGTCGAAACGTCGTGAGAATTTAATTGTGTTATTTTATTATTTTATTCTCATTCTACGTGGCTTTACCGAAAGAACCAAAGAAGATGAATCCTTGCAGTCATGAAAGCTTTAAATCGAAAAGTATTGTATTAATGATATTGCCATTGCTATTATGACTGCTCACCTTGAGCAGATTACTATTTTATGATATGTTGCACTCAGAAAGCGTATGGCTTGATACACATCAAATATCATGCTTACCTAACAGAAGGAAAACACATAGGTATAGTAATTTGCAATTATAGCGTCAAATAGAGTACTAATGAATTAATTTGAGGTCCATTAAGTGATGTTCTCGTTGTTATGAATGCAATACTTCTATAAACGCAACCTTAATGATGCATTTAAAAACAATAGTGCTATCAAGAAAGCATGACATAATTATGATGCACATTTATATGTTCAAACTCAGTGACTGCCTCAACAGTGGTGTGTAAGCACGAAAAAAACATACATTTTTCATTTGAACTGCCTTGCAACGTAAATTATATTTAATAGGCTGAGGAAGGGCCATTCCTCATTTATTATTCGCTAGTCATATAAGAGTAAGCCAGGACAAATAGTGGTGGTAGAGTGGGAGAATAAACGTGATACATCTGATTTAACCACAGCACGTCTTTTACTCTGTATTTGGAATCCATACAACTATTACCTATCTGTGGAGCATGTCCAGCATTCTTCAACACTTATTCACAGGCACTCCGACACTCTTTGTGGAGTCACACTGAGGCTTAATTGTGTAGTGTGGGACTTGGAGGCATAACTTCTTGGAGACAGTTCTTTAAACACTGAGCAAACTGTTACACACCCTCTGCTGTTACACAACGCTCTGTCTCTCGCTTAAACGCAACTCTACACTGGTTGCTAGTCTACAACACAACGCTAGCCATCTGACACTGACGGCGCCGAACTAAGACAGCCAACTACTGCTAGCAGCGCAATTATCAAGTGGACGACGACAGCTACAAAGGCACGATGACGACGACGAGGGGATCCCACTCCAAACGACGGCCCCGATCCCCCGCTCGGGGTCCCCTTTAATCCTGTTAGCGTGGCCGAGGCGGAGCGAGGCCACGCCCACCTTCTGGAACCTACGAGCGGGCTCTCGATGCGTCCCCTCCGTAACCTTTACCCGAGATCCCTCTCGGGTCTGTCACGTGGCCTGCTGTCAATCAGGGCTGCTTCACTCTGCAGATCCCCTTCCCTGCCAGCAGCCAGCGCTATGCTACGTAGTACCCAATTCTATGTCCCTACAATTGTAACAGCATGGTGATGTAGAGAGCAATTTGCAAAAGGGCATGACCCCCTAGCCTGTCAACTTCCTCCTCTCTACAGCATCATTTTCAGGTTATAGTTGGCATGACCATCAGTACAAACATTTACCAAACTGAACGCACAATGAAAGCCAATAACGTCTGAATTAGTTTTCTCCATTTTATATAGCATCATTCATGCCAATTGCATCTCACAATGATGTACAATAGTTATATCCATAATCATATTATAATATCAGGATGTTATATATTATAATTTATGTTATAATGTTATAACATCACTTCGTCGTGAAGTCATACAATGACACGTCAAAGTGCTCTTCAATCTGTGGAACAATTTATGGTAATATAAAGTTGAGGAATGCCCCAAGTAGAAAAATTTAATTTACATTTTTGTAATATACTTTATGCTGTGTCATTCTGAGGCGAATTGTCGAAAGGCAATAAATGGTGTAAGTATAATAAAGTATAAAAAATGTGAAACTCATGAAATATAATTCAAGAATATAATTTTCATAGAGATTTATTCAAACAGAAATATATTTTGCACTAGATTTAAATACTGTTTTTGTATCAATTTACCTTCAAATAGAGCATCAAGCAAACATCTCTGAGAGATGCTACATTTTACACTTTTCCTCATACATATGTATGAGACAATTACAGAATACCATACATCAGCAGCTCAGTAGATGTGTCGATATGAAAGGACATTCCAATTTGTATATTTAAGTCATCTACTACATTGAAGGGGAAAGCTTAGGTGACACTGTTTTGCAGATAGTGCATTGTACTGCATATAAAAAAAACTGAAGGGAATTTAGCATCTGTATTGGTGTGGCTATTATCATTACGACTGACAACAAACTATAAAGGTGTTCAATAATATAATTTAAGCCTAATATATACAGTATTTTAATGTTAAGACAGTAACGTTCACAACCAATTGTCATATTTTCTATTGTTCAATGGTTTATTTTCGACAATGGATGATGCTATGAGCAAGTGATAACACAAATATTAGATTCCGTTTCATTATTGAAGTGTTCTAACCAGATAATCTCCGAGGATGGAACATCTGGTTTGCTAGGGTGTCCAGCCTTAGGGGATAGCTTGCTTGCCACCGAGCCAGAGTCAACGTCCTGATGTTTTCTATAATAGAGGGTTTTATTTTGTTTAATCGCGATAATATGAATGTCGTTAAACCCGCCACCACCTGTCACAGCCAATTAGTAAGGTTTGTCGCGTAAACAAAACATGCCAATTCGGTGCTAGCTCACCACACCAGTGTGTTGGAAAGTAAACTCACAACACTTACAATTCGAGTACGACATTTCGCCGGTAATTACAACCAGCCTCATCAGGTGACAGCCAGAGTTGTAGAGAAATCCTCCTGTTTTGGTCTTAAATAGAAGGATAAATGTGATGTCGTCACTTGTGAGTGAATCAGGTGCGAAGACCAGAGTCCATGTCAGAAATGTTCAAGCATTTCTGACATGGACTACAAGCAAGCAGCCTTTTTGACAATGTTTGATACGGGAGAATGCATTCCAGTACCACAATGCAAATCCCAATACCAATATTTACCTTCAGTTAAAAATGCTGTGAATCGGTGACATCGTAGTTGACTCACGGTACTGTGAACCTGGCGGCCCTGAGTTTGATTCACAGCCATGGCTAATATCCCGCACCTCCGATTAGCATGGTTGGCTACCTACGGTGCGGAATAAGTTCAACATAAATACATTATTCATTCACATCAATTACAAATATAACTTAGTTTAGTCATTCAGCCAGGTGGCACTAAATGACATAATTATTCTTATCCTGGTTGGGGATGCATTTAGTTTGTCATCACCTCAGACTCAATGATATAAGTACCACTTTGTGAGAACTCAACAGTGATCATGCTGTGGAGACACTGGCTCCCATCATAGGAATTTGTAATTTCCTCCACTAGTTCCAGGCTACCAACAGAGGTGAGCACGACCTCATTGGTATTTGAGTCCAAAGACAGCTACTTTTATATTATTTGTATTATCATTCTCAAATACAATGTAACATGATGAGCACGGTTGCAATGTTTCTTGTCAGAAGGAGATGATGCCCCGAATTTAGAGCATAAAATAACAGAGTGAGTATGACCGACAGTTGGTTCTCTTGGGATGTGCTTTCCCAGGACAGCGTGAGAGCAGAGATGAGTGAGTGCTGGGCACAGAGGGAAGCTGAGCTCTTCCGCAAGTGGGAAGCAGGGCTGTCTGATTCTGGTAAGTAAGACATGGAGCTACTCCAAATTGTCCTAAAGCACTCACCCTTAAAAATCTGCAGTCACATTTCACATAGATACAGAAGTCGTGTTCAATTGTTACACTAAATAAGAGAAACGTTGTCTTTGTTGCAGTGTAATTGTCCCAAACAAATAGATTCCCTGCGACACCAGTATCCCAAATGAACTGCTCACAAATTCAGACAATGCAGGAGTATTTATCTGGACTAGCAATGCAACATCTAACAGGGGATTTGCAATGTGCTCTAAATTGCCCTAAGGTGGCGAGGTCATCGTGGTGAGGGATTAAGGGGGAAGAAAAAAACACGAATATATCCCAATTTACATGCTACCCTGCTGAACCGTGGGTGTTACATATTGACAAATAGGTTTTCAGCTTTGGTGTTATCAATAAAAACGCAACCAAAATAGGAAATTGCTTACTCATGCACAAAAATATACCTATAAATTAAAATATCAAAATGGTCTCCCACGCAAATGAGCATTGGGTAGCACTCGTTTGCTATTTGCATCCCTGAGCCAGTGGTGAAACAGCCGCATTCCTTCGGGGGTGAGGCTTTCCCTAAGACAATCACCGTTGGCCTTCCCACAAAGTGGTACATATTTAATCGACCCAGGAGGCATTGAAGGCCTGAGTCGACCCCTGACTGCAAATTGAACTCACAAACCTTGGATTGCGAGCCACATGCTCAACCTCTGTCCCATCCATCCAGATCATATATATGAGACAGCAACTTGCATTTCATATATAAACAAATACAATTTAAAATATATATAATATCTAAGTACACATGAATTTACCAGATCCATCCAAAACTAAGGGATGCAAGCACCAGTCACCCTTACCATATTCCCATCTTACTTCCATTTGTGCCAATGTGCTTAAATATATGAAAAAAAATAATGTTACGTATAAAACATTAAAGAACATTAGGTGTCACGGTAATAATTTTACATCCACTGTGATTAATGGGAGCAGAGAAATACATGCAGCTCGGTCCCAACGAGCAGAGCTTGGACACTTAGTCTCTAGAACACATTGGTGGCGAAGCAAATACTTTCCACGGAAACTGATGCCATGCAGCACAGTCAACTCATCACTTGTGCGTTCCCCAGGCCGACAGCAAAGTCTTCCCAATGGTAAAAGTTCGCAGCAATGAGTCAGCACCTCGGTGCGCCTACAGGAATTAAAAACCCACGAGCTAGAAAGTCACATAAACCTTGAGCACAAATGGGAAAAGGCCACTTTTTTGTGCGAAATTGTATTCCTGATGAAGAGCCTTGCATGACGCAAGCTGATTTTTTTTGTTGTTTTAACTTTATGCAGGATTTTTTTATTTAAAGCTTTCGTGACTGCAGGGATTCATATTCTTGGTTCTTTCGGTAAAGTCACGCAGGATGTTTATATTTCTGTGACTCACAGTGTAGCGGAGCTATTATGTACAATTAAATCAGTATTTGTTCATACTTACTGCACACACTACAATGTTGAGGAACTGTTTAACTAAAATGCAGGTCACCATGAAAAAATGTTTTTGTCATTACGTTTGTGATCTATGACATTGCAAGACAGTGATGGCTGCATTTCCCAAATATTTCGGAATGTTTCTTGCTTGGCTCTTCACTTTCTCTTTAAATTATCGCTGCCTCCGTATGCTTTTCCAGGCCTTTGTGTCTCCACATATGCACTGCGAAGTTGAATGCTGCGCAATGTGAATCTGAGCATAAAACTAGTCATGTGTTGTGATCCAGATCCGCAAATGGATTCAGGAATCAATTATTTTTTTACATTCTGGTAAATGTAGTGGTCTCCAGTGGCTGAAGGGACAAAGTGTACCTATTACATACAGCGTACACCTCGAGAATACATCGCTTATCACACAGGCAGGTTGATGCATGTATCATGAGCTGAGTAATCGTATTCATTGATAACGTGATGTATTGTCACACCCTGAGCAAAAATGTCATACCTAGAACAGGGGTTTGGCAGCATTTGCTGATCTTAAATTTAAATCTTGACTTAAAGCTTTCGTGACTGCAGGAATTCATGTTCTTGGGTCTTTCGGTAAAGTCACGTGGATAGGTTCAACAAAAAACTATGACGTTTCGATCACAACACAAGCGGTCGTCTTCAGGAAAAGGGGGGTTAGCTTCCAAGGCAAACTGTTTATAAGGGTTTGAAATGGGCGTAGCCCAAATGTCAGCAGCCAATGATAATGGAAGTGGTGGGTAACCAACCCGATGGTGGTTGGTTTTCCACCAATCAGAGGACTGCCACGTGAAAATTAGCATGTTTAAGAGAGCAATCTTATTCTCTCTGTGATCAGGGCTAGGCCAGACCTGAACAATATTCGTTTAGCATTGGGAGAAGTGACAGCAGCAGATATCAGTGTAAAGGCGATCGGTATTACTTTAGTGTCGCGGCATCTCTTCAGAAATGTGAACAACTCTATCAGATGAGCCTTCTTGTCTCAAAGTTTGTTAAAGGATCTCATAGTGGTGTGGAAACCCTCCCCATAGAGGTGGTTAAATCTTGACTTAAAGCTTTCGTGACTGCAGGAACCTATCTACGTGACTTTACCGAAAAAACTTGTGGCCATAGAAGGCCCAGTTGCACTGGAGGATCTCCATGCAATGCTTTTTGGCTTGGACGACGTTAATGCTGTAGAGTTCAATATGTATAAGAAGGGCAAGTCAGCAAGGGCTCTAAAACTTTCAACGTGGACATGATGAGCAGAGTTAGAAAAGAAAGTGGGATTTTTAGGTTTCTACAGCATAATTATTGTCTATACCAGGGATGAAAAGTGCTGGCTATGCTTTGGGAAATTGAATTGCCCCAAGGAAGGGGTTTTTAATGATTGTATGAAACAGTTATATAAACACGTTTTAAAATTATGTGCAGAATGAAGCCAACCCTGCCATGTCTTGAGAATGTATATTTGTAATGCATATATTCTTTATACAGGGATCACAACGTGGTCAATTGTCATTACGAGTTAAAAAATAAATTAGTGCGAAACAATGCACAAGAACGGAAATAGGTTTAATAAAACACCACAGATGACTGGCAACAGGGTTTATAGCATTGCATAAAAATCATAGCTGTCAGCAAAAATGGCCGATGAAAGAAAAGTAATATTGAATACATAGGCAAAACAACTGTTTTAGCACATGGCACACATGTTATTGCATATCAAAGGTGTACTCCTACATTCGTAGTCGACAGTAAGTCTTGCAACTGTCTTAACATGAAGCACAATTAATTGCCATTTATATTCACAGATGCTGGACCCTGTGGAATAAAATTATAATAATAAAAAGGTATGAGAAGTAACACGTTCTTCATACTGAAAAATATCAACCTGTGGCTACACAAGGGAGCAAGGAAACGACAAAAAAATGTGTTTTGACTGAATTTTGCCAACATCCCGACATCATCTTCATACAAAAAAATCCACACCTTGTGCGAGTTTTTGAAAGTGAATAAAAATGCTTCAATCAAAACCACCTTTATACAGAACTGAGTGAAACATCCATCAAGTGTGCAAAGTTGGTGATAATCTTCTTCCTGTATTAAATACCTACACAGTTGTTTTTGTTTTGATTCATATTTGTGTTATTGCAGTACCTTGTTTGATTTGTTTTGCTTTTGTAATTTTGGTGTTCCAAACCACGCTTTTGTGTACGATACTCGTCCTGGCCTCTTCAGTCCTCGTCTGAATGAACTAACTAAACTACAACTGTACTGAGCTACTCTTTTGACTCCTGCGAAAGTACACGTGTTGACAACAAACTGTCAACAACATGAAAACATGCCGTGCCTGTTATTTTAAAAAGCGTAACCATTCAGCACTGGTCTAAACACAATAACCGGGAATATTTGTATCACTGTGCTTTCCGACTTTTTTTCCAATTAAAATAATTCCAATGAGGGTGATGGACTTTGGAATAGTTTCTACCTGTTAGCTTGTGAGCAGAAAAATCTCATTCTAAGTCATGGTAGAAACAACATGCAAATACAATCACATCGGCAAATGTTTTTAAATGGACGTGCATTAACTTCACAAAGAGTACTTCTTAAATTCAGTCAATAGGAAATGCCATGAAGACAATTAATTATAGTTCAGTGCAACTGAAATAGTTTTGCACCAAACCTTTCCAGTTCACATGGTAGCATAACACACCAATTGTTTGGTTAGCCATTAAACAAAGACAGTCACTGCATCACGCGCTTTCAGATGCCCTTCTGCGACCGTCTGGAACGCTCTTCCGATATTACGAAGCCACTGGAGCTATGCACTTTTAAATGTAGATTGAAAACTAATTTATTTAGAACAGCTTTTTGGGTTTAGTTTGTTGTCCTTCCCTCGCACCTCCGATTAGCATGGTTGGCTACGTACGGTGCGAAAGAAGTTGAACATACATCAAAATTTCAGACTCACAGATGCATCTCCTGTTCTGAGAATATAGATGATGAGGAACAAATAAAGCTCATCTGAGAATTTAAGCAAATAGAACGCAGATGTGAGTCAAAACCACAGGTATAATATCATAAATGTCTTGTAAAATATCATAAATGTCTTGTATAATTTACTAGCGGTAAGTACCCGGCGTTGCATGGGCGAAAAAGGCAGACACACACGTGGAATTACACACAGACATTGACCCACACACATTGAAACACATCGACTTAGACGCACACACACATATGGATAAACCCAGGATGGATCGTTAGTAGGCCAGCCTAAAAGTTTCTAACCGGCGAAGATGTTACATTAGGTGGGTGCACGTTTCACAAGCCTAGAGAAGGGAGGGAATTACCGTGGCTGAGAAGACCTGGAGCTTCAAGCGGAGCGAGAGACCAGGTAGCTTCCACACAGCGTAACACAGCCGATGAAAAGATAATGGTGCTCAACTGATTTGGAGTGAGACCTCTGCTGTTAAACCGGAACCGGTCATGAGCACACTGGGCAGGTATGGGAATCTCTGCAATCTCTCCACAACTGCCGCATCACCAATTGTGAGTTGTGGGGGTGGATTGTCTGATGGTACAAAATACTTAGTTATGCTTAGTTTTGATGGGGCTGATGGTAAGGCCCCACCTCTTAGTGCCAAGCTCCAGGTTCAGCAGCAGTGCCTCCAACTCCTCCTCTGAGTGAGCAGCAATCACCAGAGCATCGGCATACAAAACATGGTTGATCAATAGGGAGCCATCTCTTGACCGCACCTGGGCATCAATCAGCCTCCCGTTGTATCTGTAGCATATGGTAATTCCTCCGGTACAGCCATTGAAGGCTTCACAAACTACGTGGTCAAAAGATATGTTAAATAATGTGGGAGGCAGAGGACATCCCTGTCGCACCCCAAGGTGTAGAGGGAATGGCTCTGACTGACGGGCACGTAGTTTGACGTGGGGCCGCTCACCATCAGGAAGGTCCTTAAGGATCGTGAGCAAAGGGTGAGGGACTCCGAAAGCATGAAGAACAACCCAGAGACCAGGCCCTACTGATGGTACCATAGGCCTTGACCAGGTCAATAAAGCACATACATTCACTCACACGCACACATGGACCTACAGACACGCAAAGAAATGGACTTAAACTGACTCACATGGAGCCACGCACACAAAGCGACAAACACACACACCCATGGACTGACACACAGACATATCGACTCACACACAAACACATGGACTTACACATATGGACTCACACACGCATAGATATCCACTTTAGATACACATGGAGTTACACACATATCGACGTACACACATACAGCGACTCACACACAGACATACGTGGACTAACACACATGGACTTAAACACACGCATGGACCTACACGCACACACATATGGACTCAAACACACACACACATTGACTCACACACACATCGACTCACACACACATCGATGTGCACAGCAATCCCCGATGATGGCATAGCTATCAGTATGGCAGTACTCCGTATGAGTAAATAGCGTGACATGAGCAGTGGAAACAATGGAAATGCATTGAAGAAATAAGCAGAAAGTGTCAATTAAAGAGCAGCAGTACGCACAGGTAAGTTAAGAAGCAGGCTACAATTTAGATTATAGACTGCCAGTACGCCGACACAATGACATAAGCATTGCTACAGTCGACAAAAAAGCTGTCAATACGGGCAGCAGCTGAAAAAGCAGAATACAGTCGACATTAAAGGCTGGCAGTACACTGAGTGAGGTAAATTTAGCAGTGTAGATAATAGAGTGGTAGTGCACTGACGTCAAATAATCAGCAGGCAGCAAACCACATGACAGACTGGCAGTAGACCGTCGCAGCGTGATAAAAGCACAGCTAAAAAAGGGAATATTTATCAAGCTAATAATACAAATTTTGTTTTGTGCACACAAACATCATTATTGTAATATCTGGCATAGTATTTGTTTCATAATAGTAAACAATGAACCTGGGTTGTTATCTGCACACAAACATAATTATTGTAATATGTGGCAACTTATAAGTTTCATAATAGTAAACAATGAATGTGAATTCTTATCTGCACACAAACATTTATTTATATCTGGCAAGTTATTAGTTTCATAATAGTAAACAATGAAGCAGAGTTCGTATATGCACACAAAAATTATTGTAATATCTGACAACGTATTAGTTTCTTAATAGTAAACAATTAATGTGAGTTTTTATCTGCACACAAACATTATGACAGTAATCTTTTTTTTCTTCTTTGGTTATTTCGGTAAAGTCACGTAGAATGAGAATAAAATAATAAAATAAAATAAGACAATAAAATTCGCAAGACGTTTCGGCCACAACACAAGTAGCCTTCTTCAGGTGAAAGAACAGAACGGTTGGGACGACAGAGCTTCAATTAGCAGCGTCTTTTAAGCTCGATGAGAGGCGTGCGAGCCTTGAAAAAGGCGATCACATATCAAAGCAGGAGAATTTAGCATTGAAAAAACTGAGGAATTAGCTTGTGACAGAAATAGCTGCGTTAAAGTCAAAGTTTACATATCCACAGAGGCATTAAGTATATGGATGCTAAAGGCCTCCAATTACCAACTATTATAAAGTAAACCATAGCGTCTTTTAAACTCGGTGAGAAGAGTGAAGAGCCTTGACAAAGGAGTTTACATATCAGAGCAGGAGAATTTAGCATTGAAATAGCCGAGGGATTAGCTTGTGACAGAAATATCTGTCTTCTTTGGTTCTTTCGGTAAAGTCACGTAGAATGATAATAAAATAATAAATTGATAAAATAAAATAAGACAATAATATTCTCACGATGTTTCGGCCACAACACAAGCGGCCTTCATCAGGTGAAGGGGGGCGAGACTGTCTGGTAGGACAGCGCTGGAGTGAAAGAGCCACGTTCAGATACGGCCTTTAAGCTGTGTGAGAGGAACAAAGCGCCTTGACAAAGGAATTAGCATATAATTTAGCATTGAAATGGCTGAATGATTAGCTTGTGACTGGTCACAGAAATAGCTATGTTAAAAGTTAAAGCATACACACCCGCAGAGGCACCCATTGTTAAAGGGATTAGCATAGAATTTAGCATTGAAATAGCTAAGTTAAGGCATACACATCTTGACAATGGAATTAGCATAGAATTTAGCATTGAGAAAGCTGAGTGATTAGCTTGTACCTGCTGCAGAAATAGAGCTTGTACCTGCTGCAGAAATAGCTACGTTAAAGTCAGAGCATACACATTCACCGAGGCCCTTAGTACAAATCAAACAGGAGAATTTAGCATTGAAATAACTAGGCGAATCCAGCATTGAAACAACTGAGTGATTAGCTAGTGACTGGTCACAGAAATGACTACACATCTGAGCTATTCACAGTACTATATAGTGAACCAATAAAAACTAAAATATAAATTACCTTCATGTTATCAATAAACTCTATATTCTCCAATCAGCTAAGCTACCAACAATAAGTCGTTATATATCACAATGCTATATGGCGAAAAAATGGGTGGATTCCTACCCTCAAATTTCAGCACCACGGATAGCTACGGGCCCCGCTCAGACGGACGAGTTCGTCCATGGTCGGAACAGAGGAGGGGGAGAGAGACAGCTGCGAGGCCCTAGTATGCTCCATATTGTAAAACTATACCATTAACCGTGGTGTGAGAGGTATTAAGAGGCAATGCTGGCGAAAGAGCTGCGGTCTGAAGGTCATCGTAAAAATACAATTAATTAAGAACAGAAATGATTTAAAACATCTTTCCAGTGGTTACTAAGCCTGAATCCATCTTCTCGGTTGAAATTGTCTCTGTGCTTGTATATGTGAATGGCCTCATGAACGAATCTCTCATGGTAGCCGGTTGGTTTGCAAAGAACCTCCGTCTTGGAGAAGTCAATGTCATGTGAGCCCACTGAATTATAACAGTGATCTGCCACGGCAGAGGAGTTCGTCCTACCGTGTTTCAAGTCTGCTTTGTGTTCGCGGATGCGGTCCGAGATATGTCTTTTGGTTTCTCCAATGTAGCTACTACCACAGAGGCACTTTAGTTTGTAAACGCCCGGGTACTGTATGTCTGGAACAGCATCTTTTACAGATGGAACTAAATCACGGATTTTATGTACTGT